TATAAGAGTAGTAATAACAATGGTGAAAATGTGAGAAGATATGACAACAAATTGAAATTATGACCATCTGATTTGTCCTACTCATCAGTAGTATGGTGTGACATGTGAAAGAAAAAACCACCACCAAACTGACCGACTGCCTGACCTAACAGTTCACATGGCAGCTGACATTGAGTAACCCGGTTATAACAACAATTACACTTCTCAACATCACAACATCTCACCCATTCCCACTCTCTTATCACCAGAACAACAGAACATCAATATCGATCCAGTCCGTAGACTCCGAATCCATCATCTACAGTTAATCGAACTGATATTTCAAAGATATTTGACAATGTTTATTGAGCTATCCCACTAACGAAACCAAGATGTGCGTGTCCTGTGCTCAGTCAATACCATCTCGATTTCGATGGAGTAAACGGGGTATCACTGCTCTCCAGTGTTTCACTCCATTGTGTAATCTTAGAGGTATATTTACACCAATTTGTGTATTCCCACTACAATCGATCGACTGTGTGTCACGGAGTATGACAATTAGGCGACTGTGTTCTTTTTCATTCTTTCGTCTCACACATCATCTTCAACACAGATCCAATGCTAGTCGACTGTTTTGCACCCATCACCAACACTGAACTGTTCGTCAATTAATCAGACAAAACCACACACACACACACACACACACACACACAGTATGATCCTGCGTATTGTGTCTCTCATGTAACTACAACTCACGCACTCATTTGTAGATTACCGATGTTGGTGGTGAGTCTACTCGAGATGAAAAGGACTGGTATAGTATGGTGTTTGAATGAATTAATGATTCCTTTGTACTTGTTGAATGCTTGATTTCGAATTCTAAACACAATATATTCGTTTGTGGTTATCTAGTACTTCTTGATCCGATTACGTTATTTCTGGGATTCTTAGTTCATACTATAATTCGAATACTTCTAATTATCATATTGGCGTCGCGATGGAGCCTGTGATGGAATTGTTGGATATACATTCAGATTTTGATGCTTTTGAGGATTACATTGAAAAGTTCGAAATTTGGGCTATGACTAAGGAAGATAATGAGGATGTTAATATTGTAGCACATTTCCTTACATTCATCGAAAAAGAAGCATCTAGCTTATTAAAAACTCTGGCTTTACCGGAAAAGCCCATTTCACTTTCTTATACAATTTTCAAGGATCTACTGCTAGACTATGTTCAGTATACAAATTCCGAATATCGTAAGGGAGGAAGATTTCGTAAAATAATTCATGAGGATATAAAAAACTCCGCTGCATTTCTTCATCCCAACCCAGTGCATACTCAAGGTTATGCAGATAATTTATTGAGGTGTTGTGATGCAGTTCACAAAGACGGGTACACGTTTGGTCAGTGTTTGTCCTGCGGCAAGTTCCACTCTTTTAATTCATGTAAACTTCGTAATTTTAAGTGCTTTAAATGTGGTGATATTGGACATATTCAGTCAGTTTGTAATACTACTGTTCATCTTGCTGCAACTAATAATAAGTCTTGTGATTCTCATTCTAATAAGTCGAGTATTTATAATGATCATTTATCTTTATCAACGATTCCAAAAGACAGCGTAGAGTCATATAACCGTTCAGAGTTAAATGAAACTCAGTATTCTTGTGAGACAACAGTTTCTAATCAATCAACTTATCAGATTTCTCATGTTATTGTACCAGATATGGTTTTTCCTAATAATTCACTTATTTCTGACGAAATTCCTTGCAAATCTGAGGAAAATATGTTAAATGAACCTAGTCATGATCGAAAACGTGAGGCAGTCTTGATAGATGCTGATTTTTCTAATGATCCTTTACTCTGCAATGACATTCTTAATAAATTAGAGGAAACTATTTCAGAAGAGACAAAGCTTGATGTGATATCAATTATCATTTGTCCTCATAATGCATTTGTTTCTTGTGGGAAACTTGTTCAATGCGAAGAACAAGTACTAAATGAGCTCGATTTTGATTATAATTCGGATGATTTCATATCAACTGCTGTTTATCGTCTTCACAAAAACACTTCTAATGTTTACTCTAACCAATGTGAGAAATATGTTTTAAATGAATCCACATCATTCATAACTTGGGGATATAAAGATTCGACATTATTTCGTGGGGGAAGGTAGTCTAAAAGTCTATGGTTCAAATTCTAGGTAGCAGCGGTTTTAGTACACAACCGACATGCTGATTACACAATCCCAGGAAGCAGCGAGTCTGTTCCGACTTCGGTTGTTAATTCCAATACTAATGACCACATTCTAGATAATACAGAGTCTTTATTCAATACACCGTCGGACAGATACAGGATGAACTTAAGAAGAAGACGTACAATCGATTACTGACACACTCCAATTTAAGCTGTGGCGGATGTGGTGTTTGAATGGACTAATGATTCCTTTGTACTTGTTGAATGCTTGATTTCGAATTTTAAATACAGTACATTCGTTTGTGGTTATCTAGTACTTCTTGATCCGATTACGTTATTTTTGAGATTCTTAGTTCATACTACAATTCAAATACACCTGATTACCACACATAGCCTCCTAGATTACATCGAAGTCACACCTCACGATAAGTACATAACTTGGCTTAGACTATCGTGATAACCAGGCAATGCGGCTCCCTTAATGACTGTCTAGAAAGAACGGAATCTTGCCGAAAAGCATAGTTTATCGGAGAGAACAGACTACAGAGGTACAGAGTAATGACGCTGCCACATGAACTAGTCTGTGATATCCGACTGATTCATCCGCATCAGTCATACTCGACCTTGATGATGTTGAGCGAATTGTTCAACGTTCAGTGACCTGCCGTTGAACGTAAAACACGGTTCAACTCGATGGAGGATTTGTCTAGAACTCAACGGCACTCCACTGGCCCTACACATTGAAGCATATAATGGATTCGTGTCTCTCCACATTTCCATCCACAAAGCCAATGGACTGAACACTCTTCAGTAACTGTTCCCCAAGTGTTTCCGTGTTAACCGTAACATTCTGTCAATTGTCGGTTAGAGAAATTCTTTCAGATTCCATATGCAACCATTAATTTGATCTGTTTTACTTCTGTGTTGAGAATACCACAAAGAATTCCCACTGGCCACCAATCACTGGGATAAAGAAATCATTAGATTACTAACTGACTAACTATCTAACTAACCATACAGCGATTGAAATAAATAGAGAGTCTTCACTCGACCTTTATGTCACTGATGAATGTGCACAGAAAGAGTACAGAATGGAGGAAGTGGCAGTGCTTAACCGGCTTGTTATATCGATTCAAACGGTCGACTGTCAACACTGAAAATGGAATATGTGTGGACGTGTGTGTGTGCGTGTGCGTGTGCGTGTTCATCTGCAACACACATAGGAATGTCGGAACAAGTCTGGAGAATTTGGAGATCATATGGGAAACCAATGGAGGAGCAGTGTGTGAATGGTATAGAAAGGCGATATTTCATCGTCTTCTCCACATTGTCCACCTCATCACTGTCTTACTTCCACACCTTCTCCCATAATGTTCGCACTCATGATTGGCGTGTTCTGAGACGAGTCACCTGTTCATGTCGAAGGTAGTAGAGGAATGAAGGAGAGAGTGGAATGGACACGAACTGTTAGCGTGAATCATCTACGCTTCGTATATGGATGTGTAGGGGTTGTGTTTTTTTCATCAATGCGTGATTTTTTCATTTGATTTAATACTTTACTGTTTGTCTCCTATTGCTCTTTGTTTTCCTATGGATATATATTCCGGTAATTTTTTATCATTTCGTTTTCTTGCTTGTACTTTCTTGGTAATGTTTGATTACTTTTTTCGTCATTTAATCGTCTTTTGCGTTGTTATTGATTGTCTCATATTTGTGATAATACTTTTTTTGTTGATACTTCAAATGAAATACTTAATTTGATTGAGCTTGTATGTTTTCTGTCCGTCTCAACTTGCTAACACTTTTCACTTCATTATCCATTCCATAAACTTGTTGTTTCCAAAGAAGATTAAATTAGAAATAACTGGCGCAAAATATTGTATAACTGTTAAGTAACTAGAATATATATGTTTATATTTCTTTTATCATAAGCTTTACATTGACTTATTGGCTATTATTGTATGATTTTTTATTCATTACTTATCCCAAATCTTTTAGTTACAGTCTCTCACACTCACAGTCACTCTTGGCTTGATCTTGTATAATGGCAATTTTTATTTTACGGCGTGATGCGGTCTGGTTTGCTTGTATATACTACGCATGTCTGGAATACATTATTTCTACAGTGGAAGCTGAGACTGCGTTCTCGACTCAATAGACAGGACAAAGCGCGAAGGACCAATAAGGATTTAGAGCTGATATAGGGCTACTAGTGTTGTTTAACGTTTCACTGATCTAGCACAAGGACAAGGTCATATAAGTCGGTATTCTGACTGGTGGTTTTGTCACGTGATAATTGACGGTGGAAAAAGTCATAACAAAACCACTTAACAAGATAAACGAGTCTTCAAAACCCAATCAGTTAAAATTCGTGACATAGACCAGTTCGGTTCTTTACTGTCCAACACTTTTGATATTCATGCATACATTTAATTGTGTTTAGTGTTCTGAAATATCAGCAAACAATGAATGTTGTTATGATCAGTTTGAAATTGAAATATTTAAGTTTTCATTTACTGGTAAATCATGTGCAAGCTTCTCTCAATGACCAATCAGACATACGTCTTACCAACCCAGCTTATTTTGACCTTAATCTAAACTAATCGCGTTAATGAATGTAAGACAATTATCATTAACCAATCATATTAATGTCTGCGGTCGTGGTCAGAATGAAATTTTTCAATGTCATTTTACATCTGAATTATGTATACATAACAACTACCGTGACGTCAGACACTTGTGGGTGATTTCAAAGACTAAGAAACAAGTATTGAGGCTTCTGTTCATATTCTCGATTGGTGTTCGTTAGACTTTATTGATGGAAAATGGCTCAATGTGTACCTCCTACAAACAGTGCACAAGAATGTGAATTGAGGACATCAGAAATACCGACTCAACAATTCATCACCACCAAACTTAGCGTAGATGAAATATTGAATAAGTATGTTGGAGAATATGGAGTTTGGCAATGGAGTATTGTGTTGCTAATAGTTTTAAGTTCTCCTCTAATGGTGACGTTACCTGTATTTGTTAATGCAGTACCTGACCATCGTTGTCGGATGGAAGATCCTATCGAAGAAATATTCAGAGAATACAATTTAAGTTTTGAGGAAGCCGCTGCATTTGTGGGTCCATGGGAAGGTGAAATTCCTGTAACAATGATGGGTTGTCTGAGATTTGCATTGGACTGGAGCAATACAACCCTCATCGAAAACCTACTTTTGAATAAGTCGGTTGTTTCATTTATCGATCGTGAATCGTTGAAAACTAAAGCGTGTGTCAACGGTTATGTATATAGAAGTAAAGAGTTCCAATATCCCAGTACTGTGGTAGCGGAATTTAACTTGGTTTGTGATAAGAGTATGCTATCGCCTCTTGGAACCTCTCTTTTTATGGTTGGAATGTTGTTTGGATTCATTTTCGGTGGTTATTTTGGTGACAAATTCGGCAGACGAAACGGTGCAATTGTATTCTCTATCATTGAATTACTTGCAGCGGTTGGTGTTTCCTTAGCCCCTAATCATCATATCTATCACCTGATGAGAACAATTGTTGGGTTTTCTAGTACAGGAAAAGCCGTCCCCCTACGCCTATTACCAATTGAGCTAACTAATGCCAAATATCGATCATATTTCACATCGTTCATTGTTTTGGGAATTGTATTTGGACATCGTGCTATAATGACTGGAATAGCTTATTTGGTACGAGAATGGCGTCTTCTCAACGCCCTGTCAACGTTACCATGTCTCACATGTTTCATATACTTTTGTCTTTTACCGGAATCACCACGATGGCTGTTATCTCAGTATCGTGTTGAAGAAGCCATCACAATATTGAGAAGAGGGTGTCGTATCAACCACATTTTGAAGAAAGACAAATCAAAATTATCACAATTCGACAATTACCTGAAAGATTTAAATAAAAACCAATCTCATATGGGAAAATTATATGTCCATAGTGAACCTATAAGTGTTTCTGAACGATTGATTAATTTATTTAAATCAACCAAGAAAATTATTTGTTGTAGACAAATGAATAAAGCACTCATAATATGTGTTCTAATATTTACGTTGCATTCGCTTGCCTTTCTGGGTATCACACTATTTAGTAAGTACATCAATTATAATGTTTATATAGTAACTTTTATCAATGCATTAACTGGCATTCCAGGACCAATTGCTGCAAGTGTAGTTTATAGATGTTATAAGTATAGACGATTTCCATTAATGTGCACATATATAATTTCTGCTATATTATTATGCATTGGTGGTGTTTATACAGTATTATGGGAACCACTGACTGATAATGTATTGAATATATTCTGTAATGGTGCTCTTATTATGTATTCTGCTTCAACGATTATGCTATCGATTTATTGTGCTGAATTATTTCCATCATATATGCGTTCAAGCGCTGTAGGCATATCAAATGGTCTAGGTAGAATCGGTGGGATCATTTCAACACTTGTAAATTATACTGATTTTGCTTTTAAACATGGTACGCCTGTACTGATTTATTCCGGTTCCTCAATGCTTCAAGCTTTCCTACTATACTGTTTACGTGATACAAGCGGTGAAGATCTTTCTGATGTTGACAAATGCATAGAATCTGCAACTGATGATCATGTTCATCAAAATGGATCTAATAAAAATATTGATGCAGGAAGGGAAGAGTTTGTAATCAATTTGAAAACATTAGAAGACCGAATAAAATCGTCACCAACAACTGTAACTAATCTCTAGTATTTTCACATTTCTAAACGATACAATTTTAATGTAGACTAACTGATTCCAATAAAATTTCTTTAATTATGTTGTCATTAAATTTCATTATCTTTGTTAGTTATGTCCATAAATAACCAATCAAATCGTTGCCTTAGCTCCCACCACATTCATCTGGTCTGATGTGTATGTAAACTTCCCTGATGCATGTGACCTACCAATTGAAAGACATTATTATCCTATTATACTAGTGTGTTTAATAATTTATATCCATTTTGATTGGACGCGCAATACTGGTGGGCATGTATGCGCCGTTTCAATTAATGACTGTAATTCCTTTAATTATTGTACTGGTCTAATTGTTTGAAGTTTAGAAACAGATAAATTTTGAGGCGAAGTTGTCGTTCTTCTAACTATAGAGTTTACATCGCGTTTACAATTCTAGTAGTTTATTTGTAGGATGAATTAAGTCCTACAAAGTTTCTACCAGTATCTCACCAGAACTTCTTACGTTGAGTGCTGTTAAATGTTTACGAAGAAGAATCGAAAGACTGTTCAGACTCCTGAATTGCCGCCCCACTATACAGGAACTCATAGTGATGACGAATTTAAAGGAAACGGCTACCGAATAGATCTCTTGTTAGACCTGGAATTAGCTAAAGTACTTTTAGCTCAGATAGAAAGAGATATTGAGCTAGAAAGGTTAGGTCAAGATGGAAGAGAACATTATAATCAAGTTGTGGCTGACAGGGTGATGTTGTACGAGTCTACATCTGCTTCACGTGTAGTTGGTGTTCCTCCTGAAAGGAACTGCATCATAATGATATGTAAAGTTTAGACCTACCAAAGAGAGAGATCATAAGGTTTGATGGTAAGCCAATGGCCTATTGGAGTTTTATAAGGAGTTTCGACGACTTTTAATGAAAGCGTTGGATCCCGATCTAGGTTAAACTATTTGATTCAGTATTGCGATGGTGAAGCTAAGTCTACTATTGTTCATTGCTCAAGCCAAAAGAAGGTTATCGTTAAGCGTTAGAGCTTCTCGAGGAAGCATTCGGTCAGAAGCACATAGTAGCCCATGCATTTATTGACAAGATGCTGAATATCCCTGCTATTAAGGGGACTGATCCAGATAATTTAAAAAGGTTGTCTCGTGAGATGCATATTTATGAGCTAACATTTACGCAAATTAACTATATATCCGATCTGAGTTCTACAAAGACTATCGAATGTATGAATAAATAGTATATTTGCAATATCCCAATGAGTAGGGAAATTAGATTTTCTGACGTTTCATGACGCATTGCAAGCCATTTCAGAGAATACATAATTCAAAATGAATTCAAGTTTAAATAGTACAACGAAAGAACAAGAATATAATGTAATCAATCAAAAAACACATCTGAATTATTATTCATTCTCCAAAGAAGTGGCTTACACTGTGCCGTGAAATGTCAGAAAATCTAATTTTGAGAAAGTGCGGTACAGACTTTCGCTTTCCTAGATGGCGAGGCTAGGTTTCCCGAATGTATTATACAGATAGCGAAGGAACAGTTTTACGTTGAGGATTTATTAACCAGGGTTGATACATTAGAAGAAGCTAAATTAGTATATTCTCAGCTGAAGGAAGTGTTACTTTTAGGGGGGGGGGTAATTTGACCAAGTGGGTCAGCAACAATGTCGAATCAATGAAGTCTATTCCAGAGAAACACCGTATAGAAAGAAACGTAGACATTTGTTTATCTATGGAAAGAAATGAAATGACCGTAGGGAGAGAGTGGAATGTTCGAACGGGTAAGATCTTCGGGATGTGCGAATTCGGTGTGACTCCTACAAGAAGAACCATTTTGTCGTTTGTAGCTTTTATATTCGATCCAGATGGGTTTATAGGTCCAGTTGTTTTACCAGCTAAACTAATTTTACAAGATACATGTCGACAAAATCTGGCGTGGGACACAGAGCTTTCTACGGAGTGCTTTATGATATGGGACTGTTGGCTTGAAGGTATGAAGCTCCTAAGTGAACTTTTACTTTCCAGATGTCTCGTACTAGAACCGTACAAACCACTGGCTAGTCAGATGCATTACTTTGCCAATGCCTCAGAATTCGCATATGGTGTTGTGGTATATGTTCGATTTGAAGATGTCTCTCATCAAGTGGGATGTTCTTTTTTATTAGCTAAGTCCAAGGTTGCTAAGTCAAAAACTAAAGCACCATCTGATAATGGTCCCAAATCAACTCCATGAAAGCCTAAGGAAAAGAAGGTCATCAAGCCGAAAGTCAAGACACTGACCAGGCCTAAGGCCACTGCAACAAAGAAGCCGGTAACTAAGACCCCGAAGAAACAGGCAGCATATCTTCGCCGTGGTATCACATATTTTGTTGTGAATGGCGCCTTTGTACGAATCTGGTAGCTTCAAGTGATAAAGTGCTAGTCATAGACAGATTACGTGTAGCTGGAACCAAAAGAATTTGGTAGATGCTCCTTTAGAAAGGGGTTGGCGAACATGGGTATTATGGCTTACAGACTAGGCATACCGTCCAACGAATTAGGTTGTTGACGAAGTAACACCTCCATTGCCCGACGAACAACTACTGTGAATTATCAATGATCAACTCTTCTCACCATACAAGTGTGAACCAATCAACACACAATATGCACATCATTGGTCATTCACTATTGCACTGATCAAGCAAGCATGCGTCAATCCATACCTTGTTCACTCGGTCATTCATTGATACAGTTGTTGAAGTGCAAACCGACTCGCTCTACCTCTTACCCTGTGTATAGTAGTCAGTAGTGTGTGACACATCATAATGACACTGGCATTTCATTGGAACACCAGTGTTAACCATCAATAGATGAATGTGAGTAAGAAGATATGACAACAAACTGAACATTTGATCATCCAATTTGTCCTACTCATCAGTAGTATGGTTTGACATGTGAAAGAAAGTGACCATGAAACTGACTGACCGAGAGACCGATTGACTGCCCGACTGAATAATTGACTGACTGACTGACTGACTGACTGACTGACTGACTCTCTCACTCCCTCCCTCACATACCAGTTCACATGTCAGCTGACATTCACTAACACCGTTATAACAACAATCACACTTGTCAACATCACAACATCTCACCCATTAACACTCTCTTATCACCAGAATAAACGCAACACCATCTCGTGTGTCGTGTCTTCCACACAACTTGTCAATATGCATTCATTCATGCATGCACATAATGTGGAGTGTATTTTGTGTGTTCCTGTGAGAATATGGGAGAAAATGCATCCATGCATATTATTTTTACTGTTCGATGTGACTGGGTTTTTCGACTGCTGTCTCACTTCTGTTTTGTTAGACATCTGGATTTCGGGTGGCTACAATGTTGGTCGACCATATCTGTGATTAGACCGGTTTGATTTAATTGACTGAATGAGTGGATACTTGAACGGATAGATACTTGGTTTGCTAATTGTTAAGAAAGTTTACTGTTTTAAACAGTGGACAGCTCATTTTAGAGCTATTTAACTAGTGATATGTTTGCCTGTTCGGATTAGAACATTATTCCTGAGTTGTGAGGAACCTGTTTACCGATTTGCAAGTATGTACTGTATATTCCTAATGTGTAATTGTTTACTGTTCCTAGTTGATCGTACAAGTCTGTTGTTGTACCAGTGACTGTTACTGTTAGAGAAAGCGTTGTTCAGGTTTATTCCTGTGTGACACCGAAGGTCATGGTTTCGACTGGCAAGTGTCGAGTGGTGGATGCACACCTCTGACGAGTTCCATACTAGCATCAAACCACCGTCCACTCCTTCCACCTTCTCAATGCTCATCCAACTAACACCAGTTTGTCATTTAAACTATGAAAATTACTCTGATCAATTTTTATTTACATTCATCCATTCTGTAACATTTGTCCACATCACCTTGTACACTTTCCCACGATACTTACTATACCGAATTATTCATTGTCCATTAGCCACCTTTCATAGAATCAATCAATCAAGGTGCGTCAGTGAAAACTTCTTCGGTCTATGTCTATTGGTATTAACGCGAATGATGAATCGAGCACATAATGCATTCGTGTCTCTCCATACCTGCACTCACAAAGTCAATCAACTGAACACTGTGTTGTAACTGTTTTCCAAGTGCTTCCATGTCAACTGTAACATTCTGTCAGTTGTCGGTCGGTTGAACAGATTGTTCCAGATTTCATATGCAACCAGTAATATGATTTGTTGTTTGGATTGTGTGTTGAGAACACCACAACGAATTCATACTGGACAGCATTCACTGGGATAAATTAACCAACACATAGACAGTCAGATAGTCTGACAGACATTCAGTCATTTGGTCAGTCAGTCAGACAGTGAATCAGCCAGCCAAATAACCAACAAACTAACTAACCAACCAACCAACCAACCAACCGTTCGTCAGACAGACCGACCGACCGACCGACCGACTGATCGACTGACCGACACAACAACAACACCAACAAACGATTCAGCACACACACACACACACACATGAAAATGTTGGTACAAGTTTGGAGAATCGGGAGATCATATGGGGAACGAATGGAGGAGCAGAATGTGAATGATGATATGGAGAAGCGTCATTTCACCGTCTCCCCACATTGTCCACCCCATTGTCAGATTACTTCCACACCATTTCACATGATGCTGTGGTTGATGTATGGTGTGGCTGGAGTAGAATCGCCTGTTCATGTTGAAAGTGTTGGATGAATGAAAGAGAGACAGAGGGAGAGGGTGAGAGAGAGAGAGAGAGAGAGAGAGAGAGTGGAATGGACATGAACGATTGGCAAGAATCATCTACGCTTCGTATATGGATGTGCGAGGATGTTGACGTGTGTAT